ACTACTCAGATAGTCAGCTATTAATGTTCATTCAAATTATGCTAGATGTATTGGATTACTAATCAAGTTTGTTGAGATCGTAATTTCAATAAACGCTTCACTCGCAATACATCTTCCTTCTCTATATCATCGAGATAGTTCAAGTCCGGGAGCCTTTCCAAACACCTAGAACTAGTCATAGAGATAACTGAGAATAAGACAATGCATATTTTGTAGCATTCCATTGCATATGTTAAATATTTAACTCCAAACAACGTTTTCTACCATAAAGCGATCCATTTTGGCTAATAAAGATTTGCCAAAAATTATCGTTTAAGGACCAATAAGCAGCCACTTTTTCCTCTAACTCAGCAGACGGATCCGCAAAGTTTTTATAGATTTTTTTAAACTTGCTCAAGCCCAACCCACAAATTCAAGAGAAATACATATTATTTAGGCGGAATATTTATTAATCTAAATAAATTGATTTAATTAATTTTTTTGTTAATCCCTAACTTACATATTCTTCCCATTCATTTTAAAACAGTGAGCATTCTTTATTATTTTGGCTCTACTTCCACGAGGATTCGAACGATAAACTGCTGGAAGGCTCTTAAAATTGTAATAAAGTAACGCCCTGAGAAGCACTTGTTGCGATTCCCTGAACGAGTAATCCGCGTCCTATTTTGGAACCTGAACTTCACATTCAGTAAGTACTATTCAGACCGAATGAAAACATCAATTGATGCGCTGACTTCGAATTCTCCCTCTATGTAACCACCTTCCATTTACTACTTGCTGAATTTTATTTTGTGCTTTTTTGTTTGCTTACTATAATTAAAATAACGTTTTTTTGCGTTTATGCAAGGGATTTTAGCTATCTTCAATTTGGTAAAATTTCAATACACGCTTTTCAATATTTCAGGAGTAGGAGCTATAGACTTAAAAAATTTTCTCGGCTAATCAGGATTAATATTTATTCAAGGTGGTACTTGGCCATATTTGCAAACAAGCGCTCCTGGCTAGATAAATTCTCTTTTCTTCTCAATGCTGTTGAGGGAATTTTGTCAGAGTTTGTTAAAGTTTAGTCTAGTCTTCATAGTGTAATATCCGCAACAAATTTAATCAAACAATGGAGTTATTAAAGGAAGGACAATTGATAAAATTTCGAAACGAATTCGATAACTGCGCTCTGGATTAAAGGAGATTGGTTGCCTATTTGACTAAATAAACTACACTGCTTTCTGTCTAATCAGAGTTGTTTTACAAAGATGATTATCTGGCAAACATTCCTTATTTTGTTTGTCGTCCGTCTCAACGTGCGCACGTCAATCACACCTCGCAGAACCTTAGTTGTTTTAAATGTGCCAAAACTGTAGTTACTTTCTCCGCCAATTTCCATGCATCTTCTATTTCGAGGATTCTATGAATCAATCTCGAAAATGTAACGTTAGCCTATGGCCTTCTTTATTCACGTTTCTTTGCAATTCAAGTTAGTCGTTGGGAGGCCAGAAGTGTCCCTAATTTTAAACTTCTTTCCTCATGGCTCTCCACTTTCTTGGTTTGGCACGTTCAGGATGGCCAAAAGTCGGGTCATCGTGAGACAGTAGAGAGACAGATGACGCTTTGGCAGGCAGTGCTCAGACTTGGCACTGGCTAATGCTGCTTACTTGTTTACTTGCCTTTCTCGGTTAAACGGAAGCTTATTTGCGCTCTGTAATGCCTAGATGAGACACTTCTATAACTGTTCAAATCTTAGTATCTTGTTTTACTATTCTTATATTGCTCAAATTGAACTAGCATTAGTAACAATGGCACAGAGAGGACATGATATCTCCCAAGTTTATTCAACACTGCTCCAACCGCAAATGTATTCGTCTATTAAGGCAGCGAGCTTAATTAATCTTGAAGGAAAAACAATTTTCTTTTACGTATTCTATTGAATACATCCTTAAACCCTCCAGACCACAATAACACTCAATTAACAAGGTGTCCCGGAAACACATGAATATAAACACTGGTAAGTATCTTTATGGCATTTCCGAAAAAGGTCAAATCTAATACTATAGCCACACCTTCAGTAGGTATGCAATTGCATCCACTCTTTGACAAACCTGAAATATTTCGAAGGACAATGGGCCCCAAAAGAGTCTAGATCTCTTTCAGTAATTATATGAAACCCAAATATGCAAATGAGACTTCTTGTCGCGGTTTGAGTTATTCAACGAGGTCACTGGTGCTTTTCGTTCCTTTTATTTCTTCGTTATCAAGTTTTGGCGGGTGTACTTTTATTAATAAAATGTTAAACTGAGTAAAAACACGTTGCGATTATAATTACTAAAATAGTACTCACAATTTCTACTTAAGTAAATTAAGATTATTGGATTAATTGCCACTTAATGAATATCTGACATCCTTAGATGGGTCAACACAATTGGCCTTTCGGGAGTGCGCAAAAAGGAACAAATTGCCACAACACTTGATAGCGTCATTCTCATTGACCTTTCGATGGAAATTCGTCAGAACAACAATTGTGTCAGTTTCTCAATACTAATTGTCTGTAATTTTCTGCATTATTGGGGCCTTTTTATTGCAATAGCTAACTTGCTCACACTTATTGCTCAAATTTGTCTTTCGTCTCTTCATCCCGGTAAGAGAAATTGAGCCTGAAGTATTGTTATAAGTTTATTTCGTATTTGAAAAAAATTAATATACATCATGAAACGGATCCTTCCAATAACTAAGATCACGATCCACTTTCACAGTATGGAATGTGAATGTGGAATTTGGAGGAATTTTGTATCAATTGAGGGCGATTTCGTCTTGAATGTCACAGCGAAAAATTGTTAGCCACGATAAAAGGGGAATAAAAGAAAGATTCCATTGACTACTCCATACAATTCACATAGAAATTGAGATTTCAACTCCTCTCAACTCCAGCTAATTGACATACAAAGTAACGGATTTCTCTATCCATCATTTTATGAGCTCATCCAAATCAGGCGATAAGTTTTGTAATAAGATAAGTCAAAAGCAAACATGGCAATCTCACATAGTGGCGCATAAAGAAAGTAATTGATTACTAATTCCTTTGAGAATATACAGAGGTAAATGAAGGCTTTAAGGAGTAGTAGATGGGGGGGGGCATAATTCCAAGGGCCTCTGTCATTGGTAGTTCCCCAGGAGGTGCTGTACCAACAAACTGGTTTCTCAAGTGGAAAGGAAAATTGGTGTGAATTCATCCCATCAAGGGGAAAGTCCTTGACGCTTCATCACACGCGTCCATTAGAGGAAACAATGAAGCAAGGATAAGAACACAAGGCTGCAATTTGCATTTTTTTCCCTCGTCGTAACGTCTCATTGAACAAAGAAGTTGAAAGTGAAGGAGAGGTGAGAGATGAGAGGAGAGGAGAGGAGAAAGGCGCAGAAAGTGTTAAAAGGAGAAATGTGTGAGAAGTGGGGCGCGGCGATAGCGTGACAGCTGGATATTAGATGCCTACTCCTAGAGTTGTTGATACCGTGGGAAGGATTCGAGGTGGTTGTCAGTAGATGAAATTTATTTAAGAAATGGCAGGATAATATATCAAAGTTTGTTTCGGCCTTTGTTTGCTCCAGAGCGTGAGAAATGCGTTGGAATTGCAAGTTAGCTTCTTTTCTAATCACTGCACTAATTTAACATTTTTTGCAGTTTTAAAATGGTTTCAAAGTCCGAGAAACTCCATTCATAAGATAAATGCATAAAATAGGAAGAAAATTAGCGCTTAAGTAAAAATGTCATTGAATTACACAAACTTGAAAAGCCCAATTTTCTATGGTTTTCGCAATTTTGGGAGTTTACGCTTTTTTACTCGCACTATTCAAAAGAGGGATCTTGATATAACTGGTTAGAGTAATTCTGACAAGTATTTAATAGTAATTTAGGAAACGCACAGAGCAGACTTGGAAAACGGCCATTAAGTGGCACATTTTGATTGATGTAATGGTCATCAACCCTAATAAAACGAAATTCTCCCCCCTTTCCTCATAACAATGAGTGTGAGTGTTGTTGGCTCACAAACCGTTTTGAACTATCAGTAACTGGCTGTCGAAAAGCACAATGAACATAACTAAACCCTATTCAATTTTACACTTTGAAGGAACTACTAAATAAAGGAAATTCATTGATAAATGAACACTACACCCAAATTCGACTAGCTGAAATTTACAATGAACTTTAATGAACTTGCGCGCGAATACTGCAAGTGAAGTGCGGAACTCAGTTAAAGCAAAACCCGATTTTTTACTTGACTTTCTTCTCACCATCCTTTCCGATCCTAAGAACAAAGGCATTATTGTTGGAATATAGATTCTTCACTTATTTCAGATTGCGTTTCCTCTCCGTCATAGGTAAAAGCACTAAAAATAGCCCACTCTATATCTGTTTTTGAATTAACTTACATGACATTGATAACAGACTAATAGTCTTCCATGAGCCAAGCTAATTGCTACAATCTTCCCACACGGATGGCCAAATTAAATGATGCAAATAGCATTAAAGCGACGATGAATGATTCCATTTACTTACTTCGTCGGCCTTTACTCATTGAGAAGCTGGAACTGGAAAGAAAATTAACATTTGTAGAAAGTGTCAACACAACCAATAAGAATGGTGTACCATGAGAAATCGTTATTTAACCACCTGGATATTAAAAAATGAAACCTTCCCTGCTGTGAGAAGAAAAATAGTTGCAAAAGATTATAAAGTTATTCTTATGCTCTCACTCCCAGACTTAATGCCCGAACAATGAATAGTCATGAAAATGACTACAAAATACCCTTCGCATTTCACAAATTTGTATTTTTAGGGAGAATTCTAAATTTATAGCCCATGTCAACATGCTAACCAAATAACAGAAAAACGATATTTCAAATGCCAATAAATGGATTTATGCCTGTTTTTTTTCACAGATGATAGAAAAATATTTCCATATGTACAAAGAGAGACGTAAAAGAAATACTGGGTGATTTAAATACAGAGTAAATTAAATGACAAGCATAGTGACGAGCCTGCAAGGAGAATCATAACTCGACTGCTGATGGTGTCTTAAGTCCCTCCTTTGAGTACTTCGAGTGGTATGATGACCGGTGAGAACTGGTGAGGAGGGTTTTACATCAGCCGGTTTTAAAGCCAACGCCTGGTTCTCTTTCTTAGCCCCCTCATCCCCACTTGTTTCAACAGTGTCGTACTCCGGATCGGCATAGATATGGTTCTGATCGTCCTTCGACATAAGCCTTTTCTTGCCACAATGACGTTGACGGTACTTTCTTATAAGACTCTTGTTCCCCAAAAATTCGTTCGTGAAGGAGGACTCACTGGAACGCTTCAACTTCAATCGATACATCCCATTTATAATATCATGAGTAGCAGATATTGTTGCAGTCATCATATTGGAAGAACGCGACCGTCTCGCATGGCGGGTGGGTCTGGACTCTTTCTGAAGTCGAGAGACTTGTACACGAGAATTTTCTGGCGATGGACTTCGCCTTTGGGTCAAAGGTCGTAGAGGTGTTGTGAGATATTCCGCATAGGAGTGCTCAGAAGGAGCCGAACTTGCCCGAAATTCTGGAAAGTGAAAAATGGAACAGACTAGACAAGGGGATTTCTTATAAAATGACCTTTCTTTTGGTCACAGACACGGTTAGATTAAATAATGGACAATTAATGTTGTGTCTACACAGATTTGTGCGGACAAAATGAATGAGATTCCAGAAGGCCGAGATGCAATACAGCTAATTAGTGTTAAGCAACTAACAAAATAAAACAATCATTTCATCTGCTGCCCCGGGGTGCTTAGAATAAGTGAACCCATTTGTCTGTAGTTGGTTTATAGACCGCAACTTAATAGGAGTAAAATCACATTTCTAGAAACGAGTATTTCGATGTCTAGTGTATCAATATGAGATTGGCATAGGAGAAAAAACCAGCAACCCATTAAGATTTGGTTGTTCATATCTGGAAAAAATTAACCCCATGTGCACTTAGGTAATAAAAACAGCTTAAATCATGCTTTGATTACCGTATTCATCATCTTCAATGTTTCGAATATTTTTGACTGCAATTTCACAGGAATTACGGCTTTCTGATTCCACTTCAGGGACGCTGATTCGCGACTGACGAGGCGAAATTGAACTTGACGCTGTAGAGGAAGTAGGTGGGCGCAGAGCTACGCAGGTACCCATTCGAGGTACCCGTCGACGAATAGTTGTCGGCGGTGTAATCTCCTCGTCGGGAATTGGTGGTAAGCTTCGATTTACTGGCGGACACCGCTAATTAAAAAAAAACATTAACGTTAAAACAAAAAACGTTGCAAAATAAACGCCGGGATAAGTTAGAGAACTCACCACCAGAGTGGAGAGCATTATCAAATACGAGTGAGAATAAGCATACAAGAATGGGTATAAATATACGATGCATTGACCAATGGCATTGCTACATACCGAATCCCAATCAGCTGGTTAGATTCTGGGGATTATTGGCTGGTTATTGGCCAATAGGAAGGCTGAAATACTATGACGCGTGCATGGGTTTGGGTAAGCGTGTATAAAGAAAAATGGAATCGCGTTACCGTGACACCGAGTTGAGGTGTTTTTCATGGCTATATTTGAGTACAAATTGATATTCTACCATCCATACAGTTATTTGAATGACTGTTGAGGATAGTGAAGACAAAAGTCAGTTCTAAATTAACTTTGTAAGACACGAATAGGTGCTTAATCGGAACAATTTTCATTATGCCATGCTATCAAAGTTTACTAGTATCTTGCTATTGGTTATTAACAGTTCAATCTATAGAGTAATCATTTATGAAAATTGTGATCAACGCAATAATACAAAATTCCTCAGCAGTTTTAGGAAGCTCTTTTATTTACAGATTGCCAGTTCCTTGTGTCTACAATCCGATCTTTGAACTAAATCTGAAATCGGTCCAAATCGTTTTACTTTCTAATAGGTACTTAATCATATTTTCAAATACGAACTAATTGTTATTAAAGTGTATTAAAATGAACAATTCAGAGATGATAACCTTAAATAAAAAACGTCGTACACTAATTTTTAACATATTTTGATGAGAAACTCAATTCAAGCAGACAATTTCTGATTTAGTTCCTGGACCAGCTTCTTGCGATGACAATTTAAACTGATTAAATTGTAATAAGGGGTGCGCAATGGACTTACCTCCACGAGGTGCATCCTGGGTAACGTATTCTCATACGTCAAAAATGTTTATAAACCGGCAGTTGACTTTAAACTACCATGACCCAACTGTATAACATATTCGACCACTTTCACAATACTCACCTTACTTTTTTCTCTCTATCATTGTCTGTCTCTTCTACATCTGGGAATCACTCTTCTATCCCCTCTCCCTTCATTTTGTGACTTTGATATTCCTCCCCTTTATGAAGCCCGAGATCAACTAAATGGCTAATGCTAACTATCATAAAATCTGCTATTTGATGTAAATAAATTGTAAAAGTGGCCACGGTTTCTATAGGCTTGTCTCCTCTTATAATAAAGAGCAGCTAATTGATATTCCTCAAGAAATTTAAATAATTTTAGAATTATCTTCATTAAAGGAGGACAAATTGTACAAATTACTATTCTTTAATGTTTAGCGCCGTCTATGAGTGGCTTTAATGGCCCGTAGACTATTGGTTAACATTCTATCGGGGAGGCCGAAGAAGGCCTTGCAACTCTTAAAAGTGCAAAGTAAATTGGGGGTCTAAGCCACCCCCCCCCCCCCCCGCCTCCCCCACCACATTTAAAATACCCACCTGACATGATTGTGACAACTTGGACAGCTTTATGACTGGCAAACTACTTTACTCTCTGTTATGTGCTTGTGGGAACTTCGACTAAAAAGTGCATTTTATTTCGATTAAGCAGGTTCTAAATTAAAACGAAAGCCGACTCTTTAAATTTTGGTTTGGATCCTAACGTTAAATTTACTCCATATGAGAGGCAACAAGTTTTAATTAGGCATCGGATATCGTTACAGCAAAGTGTTAACTTTACCTAAGCTGAACGTAGAGAAGGGATAGTGGGGTCATCTCTATGAAAAGCGCATTATGAAGTCCTTCATGCTAGTCAGAATCGGTAGAAGCAGTTGATCTTCTATAACACTGGATGCACTCCAATATGCGCAGGAGTCCCTAACTCGGTAGTCGAGTAGTCTGATCAATGTGCACCGTTGTAATGAAAAATGGTTGCATAATTGTTAGCCATCCACTTGAAAATGGCCTAAAACCCTACCTGAACAATTCATAAGATCCAACGACTGGTTGGAAGCCAGTCATATTTCTTACTCTCATAAATTCATATTTATATGCAAAAAAATAAATGGCACTTTTAAATTAAGAGGAATTATTCTTGTCAAATGATACAAACGGAAAAATATGCTTTTAATATGCGTTTGTGCTTAAAAATTGATTTGCTTCGTTTTGTGAGTAATATTCAAGGTAAATATGGAATTAGAGCGGCTAATTCAAGGAAAAGGTGCTCATGATCACTAATCAACTATAATTGATTTTTAAGTTAATGTGGTTATACTTAAGTAATCTCCTTTGAGTTTATTATCCTATGGTTAATGGCGGCGATAACTTTTGGTCTAGCTTAGAAAAAATCTCGACTTTCGTAGTGAAGTCTAAGGATGGCCCACTTCATTTTAATGCTTTCGAAAATTAATATTCTGTTTGTGGGGTGTGCGATGACTTACCTCCACGTGGTGCACTCTGGGAAACGTATGCTCATACGGCAAAAGTCTATTAATCGGCAGTTGACTTCTGACTTCAAACTACCATGACCCCACTGCATTTCATATTCGACTAATTTTCAGTACTCACCTCACCTTTGTTCTACCTTTGTGTCTGTCTGTCTCTTTTACGTCTGTGAATAATTATTCTGTCCCCCTCTCCACTTTTTTCACTTTGGTGTTCTCCTTCCTTTCTGCGACTTTTTTCACTTTGGTGTTCTCCTTCCTTTCTGCGAAGCCCGAAGTTAACTAAAGGGCTAATGATACCTATCATAACGCCCGCCATTTGAAATAAATAAATGTTCTGTTTGTCACTTGATGCTGTAACTCAGATAAGTTGGTCGAGTGGCATTTGGCCAAAACAAGATTAAAATTACCATATTTTTTGAGATTCTAAAATGCAAATATACCTAATTTTTTTCTTCAAATTCTAGGAGGTGTCATCGTAACAGTACTACCAATCTCTGAATATTTTCGCATTTGCATGGAATACCACGGCGTCTCTCTGTCCCACACACCAAACAAGATTAAACCTCATGAGGGAGGGCTAGTAAACTGGGCGATTTTATAACTTCCGACCTGTTTATCATTTTTATATATGTGTGGGTGTCATGGATGCTGATCAAAGGCAAATTTGGCAGTAAGGTCGTCTGGATGTCACTCTGCAAACTCCCTATCGTAATGACATGGTAAAACTGTCTGACACAAATCTTGTGTGGGTGGAGCATATAACTTTCGGAGAACAGACGTGGTTCATGAGGCGTTGCCAACGTTTCCTCAGGTGAGGTTGGTCAACTTGTGATATTCCGTTATCACTGAGTAACTGTGTTTACATATCCAAAATTTCTGCATTATATTTTACGTTTAAAGTTCCGCTAGGTGCCTATTTCGTCGCCGAAATAGAAATACGAACGCCTAGCTTACATATAAACCAAGGATGATTTTAACAATTAATTGAACAAGGCCGCATTTTTTACTTGAAAATTAATCATAAAATTAAACTTCTGGGCTGTTAGTAAATTCTTAAGAGTGTCCCCACAAACCATTTCGGTTTGATTATGATGACACATCCAAGCATTGTTCTTCTTGAAAATTTTGCTTTGAATATTCGATCCGAATCTTCTGGAATACTGTTAGGGAATGAAATAATTCTAAGTGATAATGTTTATTTATTAATTTCAGATGACAAGGGTTTTGATAGTTATCAATAGCCCTTTAGCTGACTTCGGGCTTCACAGAGAGGATGGGGAACATCAAAGTGACAAAGAGTCGAGAGGGGGGGGGGGGAGGACAGAATAATGATTCACAGATGTAAAAGAGACAGACAAACACAAAGGCAGAGAAAAGGTAAGCTGAGTACTGTGAAAGGGGTCGAATATGACATACAGTCGGGTCATGGTAGTTTGGAGTCAGAAGTCAACTGACGGTGAATTGAATTTTTCCGTACGAGTATACGTTGCCCAGGGTGCACCACATGGAGGTAAGTCTAACACGCACTCCAAGTAAGAATGCGAAGTAGGCGAACTCTCATTTCCATGAGTAGAATGCACAAAATTTTTCTAAACTGAATTTATTAAGAATGTGCTATAACAATTCCACGAGGTGTTGTTAATGGTGGAATTGAGTAGAGCGAATGTATTTAGCAGCCAAATTTATCTTTAAACGCACTTTTCTCTTCCTCTATTGCAGACCATAAATAACTGTTCACAGCTTCAGACTTCAAGATTGTGATTCTCCTTGATAATTGATAGAAAATACCCTTTTTGAATAAACTACCAGATTGAGACTGAGAGGTGGAGGAGGAGGAGGATGTGGAGAAACGTTGAATTATTAATATTTAAAATTAAAAGACCTCAATCTTAACATTTTCTCACCACCCGAGGAAACCGATATCAAACAAAAAGTATTAAAAACCGCGTATCCTAAAATTGGCCTTGCAACCCATTAATTAAGTGTCTAGAGCATCTTTCTGTCTCTCGTCCAAAATATTTGCTGTTTTGACTGATGTGGTTAGCGGGCATTTGCCTTTGCCTTGAAAAAAGTTTGAATGGAGATAATAACTGAGCAATCAATATTGAACGTTTGTCCACGTTTTTTCTATATGTGGTTTCTTGTGACTTAAAGTATAAACTATGATAAAAATGCATTGTTACTAGTTAATACTATAACTAATCACTCATATTATTTATTTATATCAAATGGTAGGCTTTATGATAGTTAT